AGAGAGAAGGAACAGAAACACACCTGTGATGGAATGCCCCCTCCATCAAGTCCTCCTGGCCCATGTACAATAATTTTCTTTGCTGATGGAACATTTGCCGTCACAAGAAGGGAGGAATCACACTGCTCCTTTCTGAAGATCTGCTTTAGATCTTTGAACAATATCCCTTGTATACTGGGGACAACCTTTTAAAAGAGAAGAAAAAATAAGCTGATATACAGTGTGTAATAGAACTTAGGTCCCAAGCAGTGTTAAAGTATTTCAAAAGTGCAAATCAACTTCCAAAGTAGTAAAATACATTAATTAAAATAATCTATGTATTCCATATATTGCATTATAGTATGAGAAAACAATCCTTACTGTCCACAATATAGAAAGAGCAGATGCTATGTGGTCCTGAGAAGCTTCCTGTGGGCTTCTGACATAGAACATGACATAGCCAACCATGTAATTGTACAAAGCAAAAGCAGCCTGTTGACATCAAAGAAAATGCCAAATAATATTTTTCCTGAAATTCCACCAATCATACCAATACAGGAAAACATAAAGTTATGCACAATGAAATTTATATATTCAAATTTCTGTTCAATGCAACAAAAGAAATGAAATATCTCTTAAATATGAGCATGAAGCGAACCTGTGATGGCAGACGTGGAATGAATCGTACAAGTCTCCGCAGAAGCCTTATCATTACATCTTGTCGTTCCCTTGTCAGTTTCTCCAGGAAAAATCTAAGGAACAGTGCAGAATCCTCCACCAAGCATGACCAGATGACCTGAAAGAAGAGTTCAATTAATTCAATATATAATTTCTTCCTTAATATATTAGACCATCACATAACTACCATTCATGACATGATAATTCTTGTAAAATCTATTTATCAGTTATATTCCATCAATTTATAATTTCATATTGTAGTAGAGTCCTTATACCTGTTGTGCAGCTTCATAAACAGCTATACCATCAGCAGTAACTGCTGGATCATCTAGTAGATGTATGATTGTCAACACCGCTGAACAGAGACAGGAAGGAAATAGCTGCTGTGCTACAGACACATGATGTGTTCCTCCTCGACCAACATCTGACTCTGCCTCTTCTCCTATTTTGAAACAGAATTAACTTAAATATATCAAATGATCTATTCATTATCCTCTGAGAGTGTAAGAGCAGTTTTTCAGGTCTATACATATGAAGCTTAATAGAATACCATTTCATGTGATAGGAGAAGCCACCTACACAAAGCTTCATTGTTTTTATTAGCACAATGCAATATCATACCTTCCTCATGGTCATCTGCAGAAACATGATGCAGAGCAGGTTCATAAGCAGCCTGAATAGTTACAGGAACAGTTGTAAGCAAGAAATTTTCTCGTTCTTGCCTCCTTTTCTTCTCCTCTGCTTCTAGAGCTGAACGAACCATTTCAGCTTGCAATTTGCGTCTTGTTCTTGTAGCTGTCACAAATGACCTCTGAAGAAAGAGCAGACAAGAATGCCATGTTATCATAAACCTCGTTTACCATGATTAATACATTTCATATAATCACAGATATCAAACACTTGCAACAGATAAAACACAAATGCGTACAGTTATATCAGTTTTTAGATATTTCATTCATCCTCCTCCATACCAATAACTCTTCTTCTAACACCACCAACAAATAATATGCAACTTACATGTTGTATCTGGTTAACTGTAACTTCATCGACATTTGTCTTGAAGTGTGGCATCCAGGGAGGATCAACAACAGGCAAAGATTCTACGCCAATCTTGGGAGACGGCAATGTGAACTCTATGCCATGTGGAGGGACCTTGAATGTCAGCTGCCCTCCCTCCTCCATGCGTGGCCAAGCCTGGTATCTGGACTGCCACAGAACCTGGAACCTGTGAAGATTTTTTTTTTTTTTTTTTTTTTTTTTTTTTTTTTTTTACGATGTTTGACACATCATTGTTAATGTGGGATTCAGAAGAAAAATTCTTACAGTGTATGGCACAGTAACAAATTACCTAATAACTAAACCTTAAATATTTTCATGTCAAACATATATATTCAAACTTGATATAAACTGATGCTTGACTTTTTAAAATAATTCATCTTAATATATATTGATACCATATTTCTATATAATTCAACTTGATACATATTAATACCTCATTTCTACTCTATTCTTCCATTAATTTCTCAAATCACTTACAAAACTCAAAAGTTCTTTAAAGGAAAAATTCTCTCTGAAACACTTCTAATATTTCCTTCTCTTAAATAAAGATAAAAAGATTACATTACAATATAAGAAATAAACCTTAGAATGGCATTGAGCCTCGTGCAAGGGTCTGGATGAGTCAGTTCTCGAGTCATGATGTCTGAGGCATGAGCTGGAACTCTTACTCCAGCCAGAATGAAAACAACAGCTGCCGTTGCTGTCACCTGTTAGAACATCATGTGCATATGTATTACTAAGGTGGAAATAAATTCTTAAATGTAATCACTGTAACAAAAGTTGCTGCAAAAAGATGACACATAAAGACCAAAGACCAATTATATGATTCAGTTGTTAGCCTACTGTATACTCAATGAACACTATTTACACTTAAAATCCTAAAGTCAGAGACAGTACTACCAGGTAATATTCAAATCACTGACACTAAAAGAGTGATCTCTCAAAAATCCTTTGGTGAAATATTTCATTGACATACCTCATTGTCGTGCTCCAGCAGTTGCTCCCATGCCTGAGGAACCACATCCAAAAGCAGGTCTTCTGTCATTACAGCTGCTGCCTTACATACCACTGACAAGGAGCTATGACTTAGGCCCATCACCTGCAGTTGCATATGTGATAATTTAGAATCTAATGAGATGAAGATAGAGATATCAGAGGGAAAATCAGAGGGAAAAAGGGAAGGGAGAAAGTGAGAGACAAGAACTGTGACAGGCAGATAGAAAGAAAGTGAATGTGTGAATGTTTGATAGAAAAAGAGTGAGGAGGGAAAGGATTTTGAAAGAGAGAGTGAAAGAGAGAGAGAGAGAGATAGAAGGGGGAGGGGAAGAGGGAGAGGGAGAAGAGAGAGAAAGAGAGAAAGAGAGCAAGAGAGAGAGAGAGAGAGAGAGAGAGAAGAGAGAGAGAGAGAGAGAGAGAGAGAGCATGAGAGAGAGAGAGAGAAGAGAGAGAGAGAGAGAGAGAAGAGGAGAGAGAGAGAGAGAGAGAGAGAGAGAGCGAGAGAGAGAGAGAGAGAGAGAGAGAAGAGAGAGAGAGAGAGAGAGAGAGAGAGAGAGAGAGAGAGAGAGAGAGAGAGAGAGAAGAGAGAAGAAGAGAGAGAAGAGAGAGAGAGAGAGAGAGAGATAGCAGAGAGAGAGAGAGAGAGAAAGAGAGGAGAGAAGAGAGAGAGAGAGAGAGAGAGAGAGAGAGAGAGAGAAGAGAGAGATTAGAGAGAGAGAGAGAGAGAGAGAGAGAGGAGAGAGAGAGAGAGAGAGAGAGAGAGAGAGAGAGAGAGAGAGAGAGAGAGAGAGAGAGAGAGAGAGAGAGAGAGAGAGAGAGAGAGAGAGACCCAAAAAATTGAAAGCTAGAAAGAGAGAAAGAGAGAGAGAGAGACCAAAAAGTTGAAAGTTAGAAAGAGAGAAAGAGAATACAAGTTCTAATCCATGTTATTCAAATCTGTTTATAAATCAGAAACTTAGCAAGGAACACACCTGAGTTTTCATGTATCGAACAATTGGTGAATCTCCTTTCTTTGGCTTCTGTTTTTCATCTTCCTTATTGCTGTCTTTTGCAACTTCTTTTCCCCCTTCACCTTCCAGATAAGAATAGCAAGTGTTGAGTGTTCAATAATCTTTTTTAGAATCATGTTATCAATAAATCAAATCAATAACATTACTCTTCATCAAATTATATCTACACAGAATAATCAAAATAACACTGCTGGATTCCAATCAAATGACATTTCAAAATATGATAGATGATCACAGTCACACATACCATCAGTGTCAATAGTGTCTTTCGAGAGATGGACTGCCGAACCCTGATGGTGGCCTAAACGTGATAGCACTGCAGAAATATCAACACTGCGATCAACTCTGTAATAAAAAGTCAAATTATAATTATTTGTCAGATAACTCTCCAATGACATTAATAAAATTGGAACCTAACACATATATTTGTATGTGTGTGTGTGTGTGTGTGTGTGTGTGTGTGTGTGTGTGTGTGTGTGTGTGTGTGTGTGTGTGTGTGTGTGTGTGTGTGTGTGTGTGTGTGTGTGTTGTAGTGTGTGTGTAGTGTGTGTTGTGTGTTGTGTGTGTGTGTGTGTGTGTGTGTGTGTGTGTGTGTGTGTGTGTGTGTGTGTGTGTGTGTGTGTGTGTGTGTGTGTGTGTGTGTGTGTGTGTGTGTGTGTGTGTAGTGTGTGTGTGTGTGTGTGTAGTGTGTGTGTGTGTGTGTGTGTGTGTGTGTGTGTGTGTGTGTGTGTGTGTGTGTGTGTGTGTGTGTGTGTTGTGTGTGTGTGTGTGTGTGTGTGTGTGTGTAGTGTGTGTGTAGTGTGTGTGTAGTGTGTGTGTGTGTGTGTGTGTGTGTGTGTGTGTGTGTAGTGTGTGTGTGTGTGTGTGTGTGTGTGTGTGTGTGTGTGTGTGTGTGTGTGTGTGTGTGTGTGTGTGTGTGTGTGTGTGTGTGTGTGTGTGTGTGTGTGTGTGTGTGTGTGTGTGTGTGTGTGTGTGTACGAATGTGATAATGTTGCGTAATAAACTTACTTGTCACGCCTAGACAAACTCTCTTTTCTCTTTAATGGAGACCCATGACTTCCTCCTTGCTCTGATGCTTTCCTCGACTGCTTCTTTTCCTTTTTTGTTTCTCTTGCTATATCACCAGCACCAGACAAATCCTCTTCTTGCTCCTCAAATTCTTCACCATACATCTAATCAAATAATGAGGTAATTTTTCTTTGGTTATGTAGCGAGGAAAAGACGAAAAGGAAGATGAAGAAAAAAAGTAGAGGAGAAAGAAGGAAAAAGAACAAAAAAGTATTTACCTGAATCAAACTCTGTATCTTTATATCCACAACATAATATAGATTCACTAAGAATTAAGAATCTATTGCACACAGATTAATATCACATAACCTTTTTGGATTCTGCAATAAAGTTACCATATGTAAGAAATACTGATTAACGTCTTAACCAAAAGCAAACTGATACCCAGTGATCAGGTTATCACATATTAAGAAACCATGTACATTACTGACTTACTTTCCTCAAGGCATGCATCAATCTCCTGCAAGCCCTCATGTTCCTCCTGTAGCAGTGTGGATGACAGAAAGTCTGGTGTGTGCAAGTCATATTGTACAGAGTGGACAAGCGTACAACAACCTGTTATGCGACGAGAAGGAATTCTTTTAATCTATGAAATATGAAATGGTTTATGAATACTTACATAACTATACACAGATAAATACTGAAAGGGGCAAATATTCTGATTAACAGAAAACCTTTGGGCTGAACATATTCAAATGAAGATGTCTCTCCAATATTTAACACTTCTATCTGCAAACAAACCTTCAGCCAAGGCATATTGGTCGTGAGACTTTCTTCATCAATATCTCCATCGGTGGGACTGTCAGGTAGGTCTTCATTGCTCAGAACACCTGGAGATTCTTCACCGGATACCTAAAGCAAAAGAGAAAATGCATGCAGCTAAAACATGAAAAATCTTTTTAATTAGCAAGTACAGAGTATCATCAACCAATTACAGACATCAATTAATCAAGCTGATTAATCTATCAAAAGACAAAAAATCTACAGTCAAAGCAGAAAGAAAGGGAAAAGGGAAGGAGGATATAGAAGAGGAAGAGGAAGGGTAGAAGAAGAGAAATATAAGCAGGTAGAGGATGATGAAAAATCAAATAAACTAGTCATTATATAAATACATTAAAGATATATATATATATATATATATATATATATATATATATATATATATATATATATATATATATATATATATATATATATATATATATATATATATATATATATATATATATATATATTATATATATATATATATATATATATATATATATATATATATATATATATATATATATATATATATATATATATAACAAAAACAAACCTCTTGCTCAAGGTGTTCTGAAGTATCAGACCTTTCACTGAATGCTGACACCTTCCTGCGTGATTTCACACTGTCAGAACGCTTCATGGCTGAAATTACATAAAAAACATTACCTAATCTGTTAGAATTGTCTATTCTATATCAAAGTCTGCAACAAGTTGATGTGAAAGCAATGATATAACACTTCAGTTTAAGACATGACAGGCTCATTTTGTTCAAACATTCACCAATCCTTGAATCCTGCAAATGAGAAATATGAATGATGTATATTTTTGTTAATGAATAAAATATATATTATTATTCCTCTCTTTCATTTCCACTCTGTCTCTGTCTTTTCCTTTGCTTGTGTTTCTCAATTCTCTAATTCCCCCTTCTCTCATTCCCTCCCAGTTATTCTCCTCTCTCTCTCTTTATTATATCAGCAATACAAATGAATGAGAAAAATCTCCTCACACTCTGAATCTGGGTCCTTGGGCCTTCTGTGCAGTTTGTAGGATCGCCTCTTGAAAGAGGAGTTGTGGCTTCCACTCTTCTTCTGGAAGTGGCTCCTGCATGCTTGCGCTGCCCGTCGCCTCTCGTCATCGTAATACTGGCCACTCTGAAAGTAAGTCCTTACTAATTGGCTTTTGGTATAATGAATCTTTTATGATTAATACATATATTATTCTTCAAACTGCTGTCAGCTGCAGTGAAGTATGAGTTTGTTGTATACTGCACATGCAAAATAAATGAGAGCAAAATTATTCATTTTCTTTCAAAAAAGTGCTTATTGTCATTTAAAATTTTGTATTCTCTTCATGCATTTTTTCCCCTTTTTCAGATGCCAAGCCATTATATGAAATCTTATATAGTCATACAGTATTTCCAATAAATATCTAGCTCAATAAAAAGCAAGTTACAAACAAACACACACACAATAACACACACACACAAACGCACACACACGCACACACATACAAACACACACACACACTCACCTACACACACACACACGCACACACATACAAACACACACACACACACACTCACACATGCAAAAGCACAACAAATGCCCATCAATAACATTGAGGCAATCAGAGTGTAAGGTATCAAGAAAACTCAAACATAGGTAAGAAAATAGAAGAAGAGAGAAAGCAAGCATGCAGCATGTACAGGTGCAGCAAAAAGCTTTCACATTTGAGATATGAATTTTTCTGACAATTAGTCATACAATTGTCAATACTTATACTGTCCTTATCAAATAAAAGGGAAGACATAATTCATATCCTATTCCTACTATTTTCAATGTCATCACAGAATCAAAGGGTGTGCTGGTTAATTCAATGGGTATTCTTTTGCACTGAAGATAACATCTCTCAATTAACAGGATCTGTGGATTTTATCCTTATCTTGTGGTTAGGGAGTTTCAACATACGTGTGAACAACAAATGCCAGGGTACAGTGGTAGAGGTTTTGACATTTCTCGGGCATGGTTGAACTAAACTGGCAAACTAAAGATGGTGGTATGTGAGGAAGCAGGGACTAAGACCAATGTTAGTTGACCAGATGTCCATAAGTGTTCCCTACATTTGAGGGATTTAAAATATATTTATCAATTTTATCAATAACTGTAACCAGTTTATGGCCCCTCAGTTCATGTATATATTCTGTATCATTTGCCACAAGCACAGACATAAAGGCAAACATGCACATCCAAAGAAAAATCATGCTTCTAAACCTAATGGGAAAAAACAGATCACAATTCAAAAATAAAAAGGACACAAGCACTACAAAGATTCACAAGAAATATGCCAGAAAGCATATACACATATCATACACAAAGAAGGTTAAAATGCATGCACAAGGAGGTTGAGAAATGGATGAGTTTACTTCTACTTTGAAAGGAAATAGAAGGTCAACGTGCTGGTTCAAACCTGTACCGTGACTGTGGTGTTTGAGCTGCCAAGGCTAACATTGTCTGGGTCATGGAGGGCAAAGCTTATCTTCCTTTCTCCTGTGAATCCCGCTGTTGGAAATGGTTTATTTTAGTGGTGATTACCTCTAAGTGTTCACTCACACTTATAAAGTTATATACATTACATGTTACACACCCATTCACTCTCACTGCTTTTGGATGTCTCAATATCATAGCTAAGAAGTTCTACTCCATTTTTTAACTATAACTTTCAAACTGAAAAGCAAAGAAAATCATGGATCATATATTTAAGAAAGAATACCTTTGGCAATTAACACCTACAATCTGGATAACAAGACCATCACGTCATGAAAAAATTTGGCTTGGAGGGAGGGTGAAGTGAACATGCTGCCATGGGAAAATTTGCCTGAGCGCCAGGGGTGACAGGAACTTGCCATCACAAGAATTTCGGCTTAAGGCCCAAATGATGCTTGCCATTGTCTTGGACGGTGATTGGACTCATCGATCATTTAGAAAGGGGCTTTTGCATTATTTCCATTGATAAATGAGATCGGAATGTACCATCCATAAGCCATGACTGGAAGAGCACCAGCTCTGGGGAGGATGTTATTTACATGCTCAGCATCTTTTCCTGCTTTCCTGGGGATAGGTTTGGGGGTGAAATTGAAAAACAAACTGTATCAAAATTAATTATTCTATATTCCTTAACTTCCACTGACATTAAAACACAGTCTGCCAATTTCTGACAGGCTAAGCTCTATTGAACCAGTTTTGAATGAATGTCAAAAGAATATATGCATTTAACTACGCAACATCAGACTTTAGGAGTTAATGATATGAATACTATTATCAGTGTCATTACTACAAGGTCTCAGTAAAAAAAATACATTAAAAACTTTCCATCTTGAAAATTCAAGCAATTGGTTAAATAGATGAGGTCAGCCAGACCAAACAAAGTACTTCTGGTGCCATATGTATAAACAGTACATTCATACATGTACTCTTAGTGCCAATAGGATAAACAAAAATAAATTATCCTAAAAATGATATGGAACATAAGCTAATGGTTGGCACTTTTCTTCAAAATGCTCCTATAAGTGCTTTTAAGCCTGAAGATCTGACTTGCAAATCTGAAATACTGTTATTACTATGTAAATGTGAATATGCTATGAGATATCTGTTCTCTTAAGAGATATATCTTTCTCATACCATTTGTTCAAGAGTGGATGCCACGAGTGGGCAGGTATGATGCATTGTAAAATAATAATTCCAGAAAAAAACAGAAGTCATCTCCTATTGTAGGCCTTTTACAGCTCTCATAAGAAGACAGAGAAGAAATATCCTGGGAGAACTTTTTATATATAAAATAAAACCTTGCTCTTAATTTTTTTTGGGTCGCTGAGAGACACCCCATTTCTAAATGACTACCTGGAAAGAGAGAAAATTCTTTATCCAAGAATAAAATGAAGACATATTAATATGAATTTTGCACTTGCTGCCTTGTCTATGACCCATTTCTATTTAAATCCTTCATCTATGTTCTTATAAGCAATGTCTCTAGAGATACTAAACATCCCAAAGCCTTAACTGTAAATAACCTTAATGCATAAACATACGTGGATGACTGTCCCCTATGCTTTGGAGGCTCTGCGCAGATGCATGTGAATAGCCCATGGAGGAGAGGGCCATTGACCACCTCCTGTTGGGGTCCTTCCCACCTCCAAGACCAATCCCTGGTCCTCCCCAGCCAGGTCTCTCTCCACGCACTGACATCCTGTAACTAGGTAAAAAAGTTTTGATTGATCTATTTGTGCTCAATGAAAGAATTCTGCATAAGAGAATTATCAAGTTGGGCAGAAAAACACTTGAAATGTATTATGCACTTCAATCACGTCACAGTGATATCATATGGGCCAGTTTCAGTTACTATCAATTATACAAGGTACTACACTACAGTAGAATTAATAAGCTGACCTCTCCTTCATATCCATTTTTTTTTTTTTGTGAAAATCATCTACTAGCTAAACTATATACTAATCACTCCTGTAAACATGGATTAAATAAAAATAAAGGTTCCAAATCCCAGGTGATCCACATATCATGGGTAGCATTCAAAACTACATCGTTGTGTCATGAATAGGATATTAATATACTCTAATCATGAAATGTTCTTAAGCTGCAACCAATACATTAACTGAGTAACCATGCATGTTCTGATGACTTTAATAACAATACATATTCACCTTGCAGATTTGGGCAAGCCAGTGTAGGTTTCCCTCAAGAATGCTGTGATCTCCAGTAGCAGCTGCACGGCCACCATTTTCAGAGCTGTTGGACATTCTGCACCACCAGAATTGACACTGACTGTTAAAGGAATTGCAATAGACTTTTAATGATCAACCGTAGAGACTATCTTATGGAGACATACTTTTAACTCCTGTTTTCTTTTTTTTACAGGTAATGGGGATGAAATTTCATCAGCCAGACTTAACTAAATAATATCTTGAAGGTAATCTGGAGTCAAGGAGACCATTATACATGATACTGATTTTCTAATGGTTGTATGGTAGGTGAAATGGTTGTTAGGGGAATTCCACATTCCACTGAAGCTACAAGGGTTTGGTGTTGGACTTACAGTGTGGATAAGCCTTTAATTTTATATAAGGCATTACAGACACTTTGTCTCAGCAGCACAGGAGTGATATCCTACAAACCTTGTAAATAAAGGTACCACTTTGGTCTGTGCTGGGTCAGTCGGGTTAAGAGAGGCCAGGGAGCTTGTGTGGCACTCACATCAGAGTTCAGTAACAACCGTTATTGTGCATAAACACATAAAATCAAAACTTATAATGAACAGTACTGAATTCCATGCAGAGACAACATACTCACAAGATGAGAATTCATCTTTCTATGTAAGGAATCTATCACAACTATAGAGTTGTTTCTTGTGCTTATGATAATATTTGAAATAATCCTTAAACAAGTCAAAAAATATAAGTAAGTAGATTAAAGATTATTCATAACAATATATTCCATTATTTTTCCACTTGATGATTTCTCTGTAGAGTTCATCAGTACCCCAATTTGCCACACAAGAACCTAAAATCTTATTTTCCTCTCAGAATTGAAGACAAGCAATCAGTCCACATTTCACACACTTTCCTAAATATCTGCCTAACAAAAACCTGACTACATAATGAAAAGTTTTGTCAAAAAAATGATACAACCATTTTCAAATCCTCTTAACCTCACCTTCATCCAGAAAGTCCTCTTCTTCGTCATTGGCCCTCAGAGCACGGCGAGTCTCTGCATCTGTGACAGGTGCCACCACTTCTTCTACTGTGGGACCTGACTCCTCTAGTATCTCTTCCAAACGTGTTCCCAATGCCTGTTAGGAAAGAGATCACAAAATAAACCTAACAAAATAAAGATATTGAAGCTATAAGCAAGGTGTTCCACACTGTACAAATGAAACAACAATCAAAGTAAGTAAGGACACTATTGCATATAACATCCCTTGTACATATCTATGTATCTACATGAGAAAAAAAAAAAAAAAAAAAAAAAAAAATCATACTATTTGGTTTTTATTTTTCTGAAAATAATTTCACATTAATCAACTTTCTATTATTTTCTTTGACTTTTATTATAAATGGCTACCTGCATAATTTCAATTTTTGTTGTCCATGTTCTATTAGTTTCTTGAACATTAATCATATAAAAATACTGGACATCCTGTTAATAATCTATAACATATACACAGCTAGTGAGTGTGCAGGACACTGTGACAGATCCTATCTCTATAACTTATAAATAACACTACATTACACTACTACATTTACAAAGAGACAAAAAAAAAAGACTGAAAAATATATGATAATGAAATCATTGTTCTCTTACTTCAGCCCATTGGTAAAACATCCTCCCAGCTGCCCTCTGTAAAATATGTGTCCGTCGTGCTCCTGATGGAGGAGTCCTGGCAAGAGGTCCTGATGGTCTATACATTGGAAGGGACATCTTCATCCATGCTGGCCAAGCCCCGCGATTACAGCGATGCACAAAGTGGCACACTTCCATCAGAAATGCTGCACGGGCTACTACTGGAGCACTTGGCTGGGGAGAGGAAGTAATGAGAATTAAATAGCAAAATTTTTAATATCAATAATTTGTAAAATAATTTCCCCAGTTCAGGGAATCAGTAGTTTTTTTTTCACTGAGGCCCCAAAGTACAAAGATTCATGAATGGGAACAATTAGTGTGTTGAATGACAAATACAATGGATTTATATGCATTCAGTCCAAAAGTACAATAATATAGTTACTGTAGCTTCACACTAAAATTCTATTTCATGAAGTAAAATATGTAGCTTCACACTAAAATTCTATTTCATGAAGTATAACTAAACCAAATACTTTGAATTCACTTCCACCAACCAAGTCCAAAACAGCAGCAATCAACTGTGGGTCTGGAACAG